CACTTCCACACAGCTGACGGGAACAGGGCATTCCCAAGGGAACATCCCTGCTCCCACAGCAGCAGCTGTTTGCTGACTGACTGATCCACACAGGCCGAATCAAACCGGGGTCAAACTAAGCACGGGATGTTCCACCCGGGAACTGGTGATATCCAGCAGATTGATTAAAAAATACATTTGAGAACTAAAATGCAAGTGACCTTTTCCTACCTCCCAAGCTGCCTCTTTAGAGCTGCCCCAACACCCTGCCCAGCCCAGCGGTTCCTGCAGGTACCAGGTGGGACATGGTCCCTCCTCTCCCCCAGGGACAGACCTGGCACCAGGATCCCGCACAACATCCTGGAGCTTTTCCACAGGAAAAGGCCGGATTCGGGCGGCGCGCTGTGCGCTCTGGTGGTGGGAGCCCGCAGTGCAATGCTGCCCCTTCCAATCCAGGAATTCCCCAAGAGTCATTCCCTGGCCCACTGTCCATCCCGACCCCAGGGCTGCATTTATACAAAGTGAAGAATTCACCCTGCTCCTTCAAAATTCCCATTTTTGCAAGTGGAAGATCCAGCTCCCAAACCCACTCCGCTGAGCTCAGTGTAGGGAAGAGATGGGAGCTCAGCTGGGGTGAAATTCTGGGACTTGGCTTCACACAGACGTGGAAGTTTTTATGAAAAAAATTATTAAAGAATACTCCAGTAACCAACTTGTTGCAAACAGAACTTGGTGCTCTGGCAAATGTCCCGGAGCAGCAGCAGCCTGCGCAGACACCGCGTTTTCCACACGGGATCACACACTGCACCTCAAAGCAGCACCAGCCCCTCACCTTGCCTCCTGCAGTTTGACCATGATGCCCATGGCTGCCAGCAGAATGTATGGAATTAAGGAATTAAGGAGTTACAGCCACTGACAATAAGATTGGAGACAAAAAATATCATTAGGGTTCCTGGACAGGCTCCTGGGCTCAGTCTGACTCCCCGGAGCTGCCCTGAAGTGGAACTGCTTACAGAGAAGCCACTTCCAGCTGGACAAAGGGAAAGCTCCAGCTGCTCCTGGCTGCCAGCAGAACCTCTGGGGCACTTGAGGGATATTTGCAATGTATGGAAATAACAAATCCACAGTCCTGCTCCTCTCTGCGTTGGAAAAAGACAATTCCCAAGTGCGCAGGAAATGCAGCGTCTTCCCTTTTAGAAAACTGATGTTTCTGCCTCACTTTTATTTTACTTTTTATTTTTGTGTTAATTTGCATGTCCCAATCCCACAAAGGTATAGAATTATAGAGAACTGATTGTTTCATTGACAACTTCAGCACTTACCTTCTTCCTCCTCATCACCTCCTTCAACGTAGTCGTCATCGTCCTCTTCATCCTGTACAAAAATTAGGAAACATTTTTACAGTTGCTGTTTATTGAAGCCTTCCTTCCACACTGATCCCAAGCAGAAATCCTGCTGGGGCAGCAGCTGGCCCCAGAGTCTCATTTCTTCACTTTTCCCCACTGCTCACTACGTTGTACCAGTTCAGAAGTTACTGACAAATTAACCAGGAGAGAGAGATGCCAATGGCTTTTAGATTTCCTTTGTAAGGGCCAAGGAGGAGGACAAAGCACAACAGTATCTTCACAAGTTATTGTGAAAATGAGTAAGTTGTTGTTGTGTTGGTTTTTTGTCTTGTTTTAAGCTGAGAAATGTAAACAATCAGCTCCAGAGAATTCAACAAACTCAAGTCTTGTTTTTACATCCCTCTGCTCGGTGGAACTTTACAAACAGGGGAGTGTGACAATCCAAAATGGAGAAACAGCCCATCTGACATCTGCCCTTGGAATATGGGAATTGAACCCACTCCCTGACAGGAAGCAAACTCTCACTGAATTTTGACAAGACTCTACCCATCACCTTGTAAAAGGCGACTGTTTTCCACACCCTGGAACTGGACAGGAACCGTTTTCCATATCCACAGAACCCTGCAGGAGCTTCCCATCCTGCATTTGGCAGAATTTACCAACTTTACCTGAATCTCTTCTTTCATCAGGTAAGAAAGACCAACTTCCTCCTCTTCTTCACCTTCCCCCAAATCTGAAGCTCCATCATCTTCATCGTCTTCCTCTTCATATTCTCCTGGAGGCCCAGCTTCATTCTCATCATCATCGTCATCTTCATCCCCTTCTGCAGTGAAGGACACACACAGGCCATTCACTCCTCTCTGAATACACCGGGGTGATCTGGCTCTAACAGATTTTTCCAGAAGGATTTGGAGACTTTTACTTTATTCTAAATGCAGGCCACACGTGGGAAACGACCACGATTGTAACCGAGTTAATCTTTGTCATTTTTCCTCTAAGAAAGGCTCCCACTGTTTTTCCATCACAAGCTTCAGGCAAAACTCGACACCTGAAGCAGGTACAAACACAAACTCCTACCAGGGGAAGGGGCTTCACTACAGAACCCAACCCTGAAATATTTTAAGGCAAAACCAGCTTAATGTAGTGCACACCTCTGTCACCTGATGACTGGGAAATGCAACACCTGCAGCTCCAAAGGGACTGCAACCAAGGTGGGACCAAAAGGAAATTTTTTGGTGTGCTTTTGGAACTAAAAATCATATTACACTGAAGCATGGGGCTGAAGCCATTACAAAACCCTGTAAAATTCTAATTTTTTATTCAAAACAGCGTGTGTCCCCTCGCTCTGTATCACTCAGCAGCACAAAGGGCTTTACTCCTGGCAACAACTAACTTAGAGAGTATTTGTGTCTTTGTAAAAGTACCTTTAGGCCAATTCCCTTAATCCCAGGCAGCTCCTGCAGGACTCGAACCCTCTGACAAGAGTTTTTGCTCTGTCTCAGTGTGTTAATACCAAACACCCTCTGGACTCTGCGCTTCAGGAACACGAGCAGAATCACCCCCGTGTGCTCAGGATGTCCCTGCACTACACTGAGACCTTTATTCCAGCAGCCCATTCCTACTCCCAGTTTGCTTCGGGAAGTTACCATCATCATCATCTTCTGAGTCCGGTGCCTCGTTGTCCTCCTGATCAAACCCATCCAGGTACGTGATCTGCTGGAGCAGCTCGAAGATGCTGTCCCTGTAGTCCTCGAGGTTCGTAATCTCACAGTTGAACAGGTCAAGGCTCTTCAGGTTCTTCAGATTTTGCTGAAAATGAACAAAAAGGGTTTTTCCCCTTCTCAACACACCCCCGTGGTGCTGCCAGGTACAGTGCGGTCGCAGAATTTACTCTGTGCCCATCCCTCATTTCTAGTCAGCATTTTTCACCCCAGAAGTTCAGTCCAAGTTCTGGCAGTGGCTAAACCCCCAACACCTGTGCAGATCAACCCCCCACAGCTCCCAAAAGCTCCTAAACCCGCAGACTCCCTCACACCCTGGGGGTTGGGTTGTGTGTGCAGAGCCCAGATTTGGACAGACACCCCAATCATCCAGAAAAACAGGGGAAGAGATCACCACCGGCAGCTCCCTCCTCTGCTTCACCAACCCACTGCTGCTGCTCCCCAGGTTTGCTCCTGGTTGTATCCCACACGTGTCTGAGTCACCTCACAGGTTAATGAAAGCTCACCCTAACAAACGAGCACAGGGGGGTCAGCATGACAAACCTGGGCCACTCTTCCTTCAAAGACAAAACAAGCCCAACAATCTCTCACTCAGAACATCCCATACCCAACATGGGAGCATTTTCCAGCAGTGGGGTTCCACGTGCTGTCCTATAACCACGGCACCGAGTCCATCAAACCAGGACTGACCACAAGACTGACAAACGTTTGTACCAATCCATTCCCAAAAATACTAATGGATTCTTGATAAAAAAATAGCATTTATGAAATCTCCCGAGCCCCTCCCACTTCATACTCACAAGAGCTTCCACAGTGCCAAGATCTTTGATTTTGTTGCCACTTAGATTTAGATATGTGAGATTTGGACATCGCTCTGCCAGGACCTCCAGGCCTCCGGAAATGACGTTGTCGCTCAACTCCAGCTATTGTACAGAAAAGAAAAGGAATTAAATAGTTGGATTCTCACCCTTAGATTCAGCTAATTCATCATTATTTGTTCTCCCTTTAAGTGTTTAATCACTTTTGAAGAGTCGCTCAAGTTAACAAGCTTTGGCTGTCAAAAAGTTCCTTTAAACTGGAAATTATAAAATGCTCCTGGAAGTCTCATGGGTTTGGGCACCTCAATTTTAAGTTATTAGGACTGGAATTCACTGCCAGCAACCCAAGGGCCTCTTACCAAGGCCTGGTGCTCAGAAAGGCACAGCCAACCTTCACGATGTCCACAGCCAAGCAGTTACCACCTAAGAGTTGGGGAACAAGCCCAGCTGGCCATAATTAACTGGAGACACCCAAAACAATTTCAGATTTAAAAAAAACCCAAAAATTTCACAGACAAAGCACCGTTAGCACCACTCAAGTCCAACTCCGAGTGCCAAAAGGCACCACTGTGGCTCGTCACCCGTGACTTTGCCCTCCCAGAGCGCCGGTGGATGGGAGATACGCACCTTCCTGAGCTTACTCAACGTGGGGAGCTTGGCCAGCGACGTCAGCTCGACGTTGGCCATGCTGAGAAACTGGAGTTCCTTGAAGGAGTCATTGAGCCCTTCGATTTCCCCGTTGCTGGACCGGCAGTTATCGAGCACCAACTCCGTCACCTGCCAACAGGCCACATGTGTGGGGGTCACCAAAGCCCCCCACTCACCTGAGCCCCAACCCAGGCACAGGCAGTGGCTGCTGCTCTAGGGCTTGGTTTAAATTCACACCAGACTTGTGCCCCAAAATCCTCAACACCCACTCATCTAAAAGTGCTTTCCTTTCCTCTAAGCATGCATCAAACTCTGCAAAAACTGCCACCTGGCCCCAAAACTCCCCCGACGGACCCTGGTACAGCTCCCCACAGTGCCACTGTATACACAGCCAACTACCCACTTCTCCTCAAGGCTCACCATTTAACTGTGCATATTCAAACCCCTCAAACCAGTTTCACTCAGAACCCAAAACCTTCTGACTCCAGAGAGTTCTGCAGGTTATTTAAGCCCAATTAAATAATTTCCTCATGCCAAAGACGCTTGATAATCAATACAGGTCGTGTGCTTGGAGAAGCGGTGACAAGGAGCAGCCAATTAATTTTAAATTATTTTATCTAGAGTGGAACATCCACTCGTTAAAGGACAGGCACAAGGTGACTCTTCCCTTTCCCCGCACACTTTTCATTAGCAACATTTTGGGAATGCTGCAGACCCCGGGCAGCACTGGGCCAGCTTCCCACTTTTACTTTATTTTTTCCATAAAAACACCGAGTTTTAAGGAAAGCTGCCTGGAGAGAGGGGCTGTTTCCCGGCTTCCCCCCCGGCAGCCGCACGCTGGCAGCGAGCGGAGGCCTCTCCGGGTACCTGCAACCCACAAACTCCACGGGAGCACGACCCGGGCGAGTTAAATCAACAGTTTCGGGAACTTTTTTCCCCCCAAAAAACCCACGTGCGCCGGGTGTGGACTTTACTCCTGGGGCGAGCCAGGTGCTGGATTTCCTCGGTGGGAAACTGGGGAAGCGATGCTCCGGAGGCAGCGGGGGAGGCGGCGGGGGCAGCGCACGTGCGCTCCCGCTTTTCCACGGGCTTCGGGCTTTTTTTTTTTTCCTTTTTTTTTGGCTCTTCCCGAAGAAACGGGAAGTTGGAAGCGCGGGGGGGGGGGG